CGCCACACCCCCGCCTTGCCCGGGGCACCTCTCCAGCAGCCCGAGCCCTCCGCCGGGCTGGAGGACAGCAAGTCGTCACCCACTAGCCCGCCGCCCCGAGGCCGCCCCCCTTGGCCCAGCGCCCCGAACAGCGAGGCTGGAGCTTCGAGGCTGGACCTCCGTGCGAGGGGCCCGTACCCCGGAGGTACGACCGAAGCAACCCTGGAGCCGGCTGGATTCGACGGGAGCGAGCCCCGTGCCCTGACCCCCGGGGCTTCAGCTCGCCAAGCAGCTCTTACATGGTTTTAACAGACTCCTCGGGACTGGGGGGCAGACCCCAGGGTGAAAACTGTGGACCCTTCCCCCGGGAAAGCATGTGCGCACGCACGCTCAACGTTTTGAACCTGGCCTTCAGAGATTCTCAGATTCTTCCTGCGAAAGCGTCTCGGTTGCCCACTCCGGGTCCCTCTGGGAAGTCGCCCCTCCCCCAAATGACAAGGATCCCCCACCCCCACCCTTCTGCTGAAGGCGGAGATCAGGTGAGGCACAGCACCCGGACTGGGCTGCTTCTACCCGCCCCTGCGGCCCGCAGCCCGCAGCCCAGGCCTCCCCAAGTCAGTGAGCTCCGCCTGGGGGAAGTCTTCCGAATTTATATAACGTTTAAGAACTTGTTATTGAAGCACAATACACATACATAGAACTTCACACATGCTGGCATACAACTCGAAGCATTGTCACCGTGTGAACAAACACATGCATAGACTACCAGCACCGGTGTCATGAAACCAGGCGAACAGAGCTGGAAGGGCTCCCCCGCGCCTTTTCAGGCCCTTCTCCATCCCCCCCACAAAGAGATCCAGTATCTTGACTTCCAACAACACAGACTAATGCTGTGGATTTTTGGACTTTATTGAGATAGCATCGTACAGCACATAGGTATGATTCTGTATCTGGCTTCTTAAGATTGGTCTGTATTGTGAACAGTTTTCTGTGCATTTTCCGTGCTGTGTATGTAGCACTCTTTACGTACCTATCTTTCCTGTTAGGATAGTAGGTTCTAGTTTGGGCCCTCATGAAGTGAGTGCTGCTGTGAACATCCTAGTACATGTCTTTTAGCGCATGTAGGTATGCATTTCTGCAGGGTGTTTCCCTGGGAGAGCATTGCTTGGTCATAATGCAGACGTATGCTCAATTTAAGTAGATAGCGCCTAACAGTTGTCCAAGGTGGCTGAACCAGTTTACACTTCCACTTTAAGATGTAGGAGTTTGGTTGCTCCACATTTTTGCTGTTTTGGTGGGAATGTTGGAGGTTTTGCACTATAATTTTGAATTTATCTGATGACTAATGAGGCTGAGCATCATTTGCTATGCTTATTGGCCATTTAGATGCTCTCTCGTGTAAAGGATTGGTTCAAGCCTATCGCCCTGAATACATTTTAAATAGACCTTCTATTCAATTAGTTTGGGGACTGGCACTGTAATAATTCAAACTAGCAAGACTTATCTAATAAAAGCATCTTCAGAATTGGGCCTTAAGGATGTAAGGATATGTGCCCTGGCTGGTTTGGCTCAGTGGTTAGAGTGTCGGCCCTCGGACTGAAGGGTCTCAGGTTCGATTCTGGCCAAGGGCATGTACCTCGGTTGCAAGGCAGCCAATCGATGTGTCTCTCTGACATCGATGTTTCTCTCTTTCCCTTCCACTCTCTCTGAAAAGCGATGGAAAAAATATCCTCAGGCGAGGATTTTTTAAAAAGTTAAAAAAAGGAACGTAAGAATATGTTATAATGGAATGTAAAGTCTATCTATTACTTTAACCCACCAAACTCCATTCTGCACCCTCTTCTTGTGTTCAAAGGGTGAATCTTTGCTAGTCAGTATTATTTGTTTCAGCCCTTACCAAGACATGAAAAGTTAATCCCTCTCGCAGAGACTAATCCTGCCCTCCATTGAGGCCATAGATAGTCCCGAGGGAGTCAGAAGAGCTTGTAAATCACAAGGTCACGGGCATCCTTAGACAATGCAATGGGAAGATTGCCACCATTCTTCTCCCCCTTCACACCACCTCCAGCCAACAGAGTTAAGTTTCCAGAAATGTACATTGTCCCTCTCTATGTGCCAGATGACTAGGGCAAGGTGGCATGAGGAGGGGACCTCTCACAGCTGGTTAGTTTCTAAGGTGACCCTTTGGGCTTTAGAGTGAGATCAGCTGGAGCCCACTGAGAAAAGCACGGCAGCCTGTTACACAGGGTCCATGCTGCGCAGAGAGGCTGTCGGGGTCCCTGCTAACCACAGCTCATCTGCTTATGAGCTGGAAAGAGCTAGCATATTTCTGGTCAGGGATTGAAGCAATCTCTAGACCA